CCGAGACCTAGGTTCTTCATGATAGTCAGAACAGAAGAACACGTCTCAACAGTGATCTATTCAATGCGACACAGCGCACTAGTAAAAACCAATAGCCAAGACAAGCTACATCTAGTTTATACTACAACCTACACCGATAGTCATGTCCATAACTATCTCAGTTGTGAATACCATTTATATCTTATAAGGGACCGACAATGTAATCTTCTGTGTGACTACTAACACACCACATCGTCTACAATATAAGATAATTGGACATTTAGCATACAAGCAATCATAAAGAATGCAACAATGTGAAAACATTTATTTCAGTCAAATGGGAAATCGAATAAATACAATCCAAAAGCTCACATAAAAGTTTGCTTTACTGTATACCCCAACAGTCTCACCCACTTAGCAGACTCATTTAGAGCTTGGTGGAGCCAAGTTTGTGCTATAAAGCAATCTGAAGTGGTGGTTGATAGGATCCAATTGTCCACCTATCTGCTGTGGTGACTTTGAAAATCCAGGAACCTATGGGTCTTCCACAAATCTCTCATGCCGGATCATATTGTGGTAGCTACAGCTCTTAAGGATTGGATGGAATTTTCAGTAGTTTCGAGTAGTTTTTCTGGTTAGGTTGGCTAGTTTTTCTGGTTGCTTTTCTCTTTCTTGCTGGTTTCTTGTTTTGGTTTTCTTGTTTTGGTTGGAGGATGTGTTTTCTAGCTAGGCCTTGGGCAGTGGAGAGAAGCATATACTCTTTCTTTTCTTTGGTTTGTTGAGGTTCTAGATGCTAGTCATAGTATCTCTCACTTTTCTGTTTAGTAGGTTTGTTGTATTCGAACTTGGTTCGCTTTGGTTTGATTATATATATCATCACTATCGTTCCGGCAAAAAAAATATATACAAAATGGATGTCAAATCGAAGCTCATCAAAAGATGATTAATTTGATATATTATATATGTAAAACCGATAAGAAATACAAAAGTTATCAACTTTTAAAATACATTTACAACTCAATGGTTGTAATAGGAAATGGTATTAAAATACAATTAATACATCTAAAATGATCATAAATAAATCAACATATTTATGGCAATGCGAACCTAATTATTTTGGGATTAAAATTAAATTAAAATCTATCCAAGCTAAATAATGAAGCATGAAATTTTGACATATAGGATCCCGAAACGTGCGGGCCTGCCACTTAGGATCAGCGCATTCGGGAATTATATATAGGGGTGATTGACGTTAAAAAAACATATGGCTACCAGGAATTTTTGAATAGAAAGACGAGCGAAAAAACTTGACGCAACAAGAATGCATACCTCATTCTTTATTAAGACAAAAAAAGGCCAAGGAAATCCAAATTATTAGGGATTTCGACATATACTTTCGGGTTTAACCCGAAGACAAAAATGCCTATCGTCCTCGTGTGGTGCCGCCTTCCCGGCCGCCCACCTCACCTTTATGACCGTGATTCTATCACTACGCTAGCCAAGTGTATTGGCCAACCGGTGCTTATTGATGCCCCAACGGCCCATCAGTCGAGGGCTAACGTGGCGTGATTTTGTGTAGAGATCGACCTCAGGGTCGAGCCCGTCCATGAGATTGAGATTGAGCAGGGCTCGGAGATCTTCGCTTAGCGGGTGATCTATGAGAAGAACCCCGCTTACTGTACCTCGTGCAGTCATGTGGGGCATATAGCGGCTGATTGCTACATTAGTGGCAATAAGACACGACTCACTCTGCCTTAGCGCCATCGTGTGACTCAGTCGGGGCCCTCCAACGGCCGGAGGGACCCGAAGGGAAAGGGTAAAAGCACTCTCCATGCGCCCGGATCCCCAAAGGGGGTCAAGGATAAGGGCAAGGCTGTGATGGACGCCACTGCCCAAACTGGGAAGGATGCTCATCCTTACCAGCCTAAGCAGTTAGCTACAGTAGGGTCTAAGGCCAAGGCCTCGGGATTCCTTCCCAGATATACCTTACAATCGGCCTTTAAGACCAATAACTCGTTCTTTGTAGTCCTCTCCCCTGAGGCAGAGGATGAGGCTGAGCCTTCCTCTAGTGACCCCCATAGATTTTTGAATCTTGCGCTTTTAGACGATGATGACCTTCTTGTAGATGATCTGGAGCAGCCGGCCACCTCATCTAGTGGCACGCCCATCCATTTATCTGATGACATCATTCATGACGTTGTTCTTTTGCCTGCCCATTCATCAATCCAGGACCGCTCTCTATGTTGGAACCCATAAGGATCTCGATATGCACAAATCACGGACAAACATTCAACATAAACCTATGCGCAGTGGATCTAAAGGTTTGATGAAGAAAACTTATTGCTTAAAATTTATGTAGATCTGGCTGGCCCGAACAGTTGACCGAAAATCAAATCTTCTCGGAATCGAACAAACTTGACCAATCCAGAAAGCTGACGTCACGGCGAAGTCAACGGCGTTGACCGATCGGAAATCGTCCTTCTCACGCGCGACGACAAGTTCCAGAGACTGCTTCCTTCCGGCGGCGTGTGGCGGCGCGCGCGGCGGCAGTTGGCGGCGATCTCGACGGCGATCTCTTCGTCTCGTCGTCCTTGTCGTCGTGGTATGGTCACTTGCTGGTTTTGGTCTCTGGTTTGGATGTATGATTGG